TGGTGCGCGGATGGCTCGTGAATGAACCGGAACCCCTGGCGATGCTCTGAGCTATCGTCTTGTGCCTGAGTCTAGAGCTCGAGGTGTGCAAGTGTGGTACAAATCGAGCATGGAGTTGCTTGGGTAGCGCTCCGGACCCCTGCTAGGAGGAATGGGGGCCGACGCAAAATTGTTGACAGGCCATCTATAAGTACGGATAGCTAAGCTTGTTGGTGTATCCGTACGGACAGGTATTGTCGATTATGTGAATGTTGCCTCTGACTTTTGCACTCAAGGCCTGCAGCATTTGCAACATGGCGAGTGTTTGCAATCGCGCACCAAGCCTTTGCTTACCTTAAGCCCTATGTCAATACTGTTGTGGCATGGTAGGCTGGTCCGGTGCGAATGAATAGCGCCTTGGGGTAATAACCTCCGCTGTTGCCTGTCCTTCAGTCAAGTAACTGGGTTCCATGTGTACACATGGGTACACATGGGCAGAATGCTCCGAATCGTCCGTCTCACTTGACACCGGTATTTCCAACGACGAACTCACTGTGTTTCTGTGAACATTTATACCATCCAATGAATCGGAACATCCGCATGGATTTCACAACTTCATCTGCTGTGCTCTGGAGCACGTCGGAGCCTGATGCATCCTTCGCCTCGCCCATTCCGGGCCGTCTGTTGAACCTGTCGTGTCCACTGAGCTGATTGATTTGGACCTGGACGGCGCATCTACTACCTACCTTATGCAGTATGGATCAAGGCTGCCCAATGAGTAGCTGGAAAAGACAGTTCCAGATTTTCTCGGTCGGAGGCCCGTCTACGGCCCGGGCAGCGGCCCCAGCCCGGCCGCTCCAACTTCGCTGGCGGACGAGCCAATCGCGGGGCTCCCCCGCTACCCCTCAGGACCGCCGATTATTTTTTTTCCCCCTTCCTCACGTTGAGCAATCCAACCCGGAAGTATCTCCCAGTACGACGACACACAACGCCGCGGAGCCACCTAGTAACCCTAGGCCCAAGACCCAAGAAGTCGGAGAGACAGTCACAAAGGCCTACCTTTATCCTACATTCTTAGTCAAAGACTCAAATTGACTGTCGTCGTACTCCGCATCTCACCAATTCGTCTTGGCCATCAGTTGTTATTGGTGCCCCTACACAAACCACCCTCTCCTCAGCCTCGTCTACTTCACCATGGCAGCGAACGACGCCCAGACTTGCCGCATCTCCATTCTGTGTTCGGGGAGCGGAACAAATCTGCAGGCCATTATTGATGCTGTTCAGAATGGCCAGATTTCCAATAGCAAGATCATCAAAGTCATTGTCAATCGTGCAAAGGCTTTCTCAGTGCAAAGGGCAAAGGACGCCGGCATCCCTCACGATTACTTCAATCTCGTCTCTCAAGGTTTCGTGGCGAAGGGCGAGAAGGACGAGGCCAAGCTGAAAGCGGGCCGCGCTCGCTACGATGCCGAGTTGGCTCAGAAAGTCCTCGAGGACAAGCCCGATCTTGTCGTTCTCGCGGGCTGGATGCAGTACGTGAATACCCATCTCCGAGGAGGCTGTATTGTTGCGGAGCGATGCTTACTAGTCCCCCAGCGTCTTCAGCGAGCCATTTCTGGATCCGCTCGCCGCGGCTGGCATTCCGGTGATAAACCTTCGTATGTTACCTCCTGACATCAGGTATTTAACGTTTGCTGACCATGGCGATAGACCCAGCGCTGCCCGGTACGTTACTTCTCGTTTGTTGTCATCTTGACGGACTGGTGTAGCTGCAGTCGGGTGCTTGCTAACGTCTTCCTAAAGGCCGTTACGATGGCGCCAACGCGTACGTCACTTGGCACCTTTCAATTACACATCGCAAATAAACTGACTCTCTCTCAGTATTGGCAGGGCATACGAAGATTTCAAGGCCGGTAAATTGGAGAACAACCGAACGGGTGCCATGTAAGAACCCCGAGTGGTGCCCCAAAGAGACCCCAGCTGTTGACCAAGATTTCGAAGGATTCACTATGTGATCGCCCAGGTTGATCGTGGTGAGCCTATCCTGGTTCAAGAGGTTGAAGTCCTCCGAACCGACAAATTGGAAGACCTCGAGAAGAGGTAGTGTACTCCCACAACAACGTCTTCAACCATTCCATTCGACTCACTAGCAGCAGGATGCACGATGTTGAGCATGAGATCATCGTCAAGGCCACAGCTCAAGTCTCGCAAGAAGTTTTGGCCAAGAAGCAGCAGAAAAAGCAGTAAAGTCAGCTATCCGCGCCGAAGGGAGGGGAGAGCCGAGAAGGGCGTTGCGAACAAGCGTCTCATCAAGACTGAAACACGAGCAGGTAGGCCAGTGCGCACGAGGCGCATTAGCAGTATTGTGGAAGTGCCCTTCATTTACCTCTGTCTTTCTTGCGGGTTGGTTCAGATATGAGATGGATGTATTCCTGGTCACCACAAGGTCCACACTCCGCCGATGAGCAAAGCTACTTCCTTGGTCGCACATCATGCTTGTGTTGCCTCTGTTCTGACATACCAGCCAGTCAAGTCCTCGACTGGTCTTTGGGTTAGTAATTTAAGCACAAGGTTGGCTTGAAAGGGAGGGAGAGTTGACATCGGCCAGGTTCATTCAATCAGGCAAAGACCCAATGACACAGGAACAAATCGTATGAACGATAGGAGAGGAGGCCAACGTAGAAGCACAAACAACGTGGACTTCAACAGATAGAGATCGTCGCCTGTCTGCTTCACTCGATGAAAACTGACATGCGGCAATGAAAGCAGTGGTCAAGCCAAGGGACAAACGTGATCACTGTAGAAGATGAAATCAATACCCAACTTTCTCCTGGTTGCGATGCATCGCTGTAGACGGAGGGAAGCGACATTGATTGCCGAAGACCTGAAGGTGGATGGTTGAAGGCATCTATGCATTTGTGAACACAGCGGGCAATGGCGATGGAAGTAATGAGGATGATGACAATAATGATATGAAGAATAACGAGGACAGCAAGGGCTCCAAGCATGACAAGTTGCCAAAATATACGATTTGGGACGACCGCAGTGGCTATCTCACACGGCCACAGCAATGAGACAATCAAAAGCAACATTAGCCGCCATCCAAGCCCATGCTGCCGATGATGTAGTTCAAGCTCGATCGGCTCGGAATCCCATTTCGCATGTGAGGGAAGCAGCAACCAATGCCGAGGCGAATCACTGTGCGGGTCGGATGAGAAAGACCAGTCGGTTTTGTCTGCGAGGGAGTCGGAGCCGGTTGAGGGGCATTAGCAAATGACGACTTCGCCAAAAGTTGCTGAAAGGAGTTGTCGAATGGACTTGCGGCTCTGCCGTTTTCTGCAGGTTTGCAAGCAGGGGGACCACAGAAAAAAAAAAAAAACCAAAAAAAAAAAAACCGACGTCGACATCTATGTAAAGGAGCCGACTAGAGCCAATGGCAGGTGCAGAATAGACAGAATAGAGTATCCAAGCCGAGATGGGGCTTGGATACAACGAAGGGTTTTATTTGGTAGGTAGGTTGACAAAGTCACGGGTGATAAGTTGCAAGGTTGGTTGCATTTGTTCTATGAAACATTGGTTGGCTATGTTGACGTGGAAGAAACGACTCCAGTCATTCGAGACTCTTGGATTTGCACGTCAACTCACTATACGCGATGCCGACGAGCTGCGCCTCGCACAAGAGTGTCACGAAGGGGTAAAGGGGAGGGAAAAAGAGGAGCAAAAGCAAACAGTTGTCGTTTGATCCAATCTTGGCGTCGAGTAGAGCTTCCGTTTCTTCAGATCTGTGCATGCAGAATTCGGACTACTTAGTCAGGTCGGCTTTCTCATTCAGGCAGACGAGCAGTGATGGAGGGACCGTTCTCAAGGCTCGCCTTACAACCGCAGCCGGGGCGTCAAGCAGGTTATGCGGTGAAGTCACGAAACCCGGCAGCCCAAAGGTCCAACCCAGTCTGTCTGGCCTCAGCAACTGTTCAGCAGAGAGAGACGGGGAGAGGGAGGCGAGATTTCTAATGTTTTCGAGGAGGGGCTCTACACACAGGCTCTCCAGTGGACATTGCGGAGAGCCGACACCGGCTGAAATGGCAACTTGGCGCGAGGTGAGGGTCCCGGACGGTGGACTTCCCATTTGCTCTAGCTGCTGGATCTGGAAACTAATTTGCTTGAGTGGGAATGGTGTGTGGGTGCGCGGGCAAACCTTGAGTGTGTGGACATGTTGAGCAGATATTACCGCGAAAGACAATGCGGTAGGCACTCTCTCTGGGCAATTATGTTGGGCAGACAGCTAAAGAGACAGAGAGAATGAAGATACCGAAAAAAAAAAAAAAAGAAAAAAAAAAAAAAAGAGAGAGGCAGCACGCGTGGAAACCTAGGTACCTAGGCAGAATAGATAGGCAGAGAGAGCTACCCATGGCGCAGCGACAGCTTAAAACGCCAGCAGCCCACCCCTTCGATACAACATTAGTCGGGTCTGCTAGAGCCCGTGGCGTCGAGCTCCCCAAGCGTCCCTTGCCGTCGAATCACACCCCCGGGGAAAGGTTGGGAAGCTCCAGACGAGGCGAGCTCTGAGTCCCGTCCTTTGCTCGGCGCACGGCGTACGGAGTAAGGTAAGGTAACGAAGGAAGGGATCTTAGGTACCATACCATACCTTACTGTACCGTACCGTACCTCACCATGCACGCATATTGGACCTGAAAGTCTTGGCTCTCGTCTCTGCTCCTCCTCAGACCCTCCGGGCCCATCTTCATCATCGCGGCGCGTCTCCCCCACGAGGTTATCAATCTCATCTATTAGCCTCGCCTCTCCCTCATCTAGCGCCCGGTTAGAATTTCTCTTTTCTCTCTTCCTCTCTCTTCTTCCTTCTCTTTTCCTTCTCCTCTTATCCACCCCCAATTTCGCTCCAGTCGCCGCCGCCTCCAATCCGTCGTCATACTACTACTTACTTACCGTCACTGTCACTGCCACTGCCACTACCACTACGCACCTGTTGGCTCCCTACTTGCTCAATTGCTGTCGCCGCCAACATGAGCTCGCCCCAGCAGCAACCTCATGGCTCCGGCAGCCCTCGAGTGGGTTCCTTCAAGCGTCCTTCCGTCCTCAACCCCGACCACGACCCCTATCCCTTGACCACAAGAGGCAGCGGTGCCTTGGTCACTCTCATCAGGAACCGCTCCTCGGCCACTCTGCGCGAATCTCTCAAGAGCCCGGCCTACCATCAGCTGGGCCACGATGAGGACGATCACGAGGGCCAGTCGCTGCTGGGCTTCCTCCACAGGGACTCGGACGACGACCACCGCCGCTCCGCCGCCGAGGAGCGCCGACTGAGCGAGATCATCTTTGGCCCTCAGATGAGGAGTATGCGCCTTATCGGAAACAGCAACCCGCGCTATCAATGGGAACGCTACTGGAAGACCGAGGCCGAGCTACAGGCCATGTCAAAGCCTATGTGAGTGTGTGCCATGGCTGCCTACCTACAGACCTACCTACCTTACCGTACCTCACCTCGCGATGCTCATGTCTGCCGCCAATGCACCTTGCCCACGTCCAAACACCACCAATTCGTAGAGACACAAAACCGTCCGTATCGAATCGAATGCTGACTGACGCCTCCGGCAACTGCCCAAAGACGCGAATATTACGAGAGAAACAATGACCTCATTCGCATGTACCTCTACATCGACCAGCTTCTGGATTCCTCAGTACCCCACGATCTGCTCAACGAGTACCACCAAGCTCTGGACGCCTCAGCATTTCGTCCGGTTGACGTGCCCCAAACCATCACCGAAGAGTCGCCAACTCCTACCTCCCCTCCGTCGCGCGGTGGCCCCGGCTATGGCAGCACTGCTTCAGTCCAAAACAGCAGCACGGAGCACAGCAGTTCGGCAAACAGCATTCAGCAAAAGGTAAAACGCACGCCAAAGGACATTTTTCGGCCCACCGAGTCCACCCCACTCCTAACGCTCAACGGCCACGACGAGGAGGAAGGTTTAGCCGAAGACGCAGACGCCCCCAAGCCCGAAATTCCCTGGCTCGAGGATGCCGATGTCGACAGCAGTGATCCTATCGTCACTCTCGCCATTTGGGTCAATTTCATTGCCAACGGTATCTTGCTGTTGGGAAAGATCATTGTCGTCTTCTCCGTCCCTTCCGTCTCCGTTCTCGCCAGCTTGGTCGACGCCGTTCTTGATTTCCTCAGCACCGCCATCGTGTGGACCACGACCAGACTCATTGCTGCCAGCCAAAATGACCAGCACTCGTACCCTGTTGGTAGACGACGGTGAGCCTCAATATTCTTTTCTATACCATAATTACCCCTTCTTTGTCATCACCCTCGTTCGCCTCCGCGTTACATCCCGCGAGACATGTGCTGACTCGTTCCAGTCTCGAGCCTCTTGGCGTTCTGGTCTTCTCCATCGTCATGGTCACATCGTTCTGCCAGGTCGCTCTTGAAGCCATCCAACGCCTCATGTCGCCTGAACACGAAATCATCCAATTGTAAGTCGCATCCACTGCTACGCATCCCCAGCTCCGCTCCGCCGTTGTGCGACCGCTAACCATTCGTGAATATACAGAGGCATTCCGGCCATCGCCATCATGGTCGGGACCGTCGTCATCAAGGGCCTGTGCTGGCTCTGGTGCCGTGTGATCAAGAACTCCAGCGTTCGAGCCCTGTGAGTTGTGTTGCCGCCCCCTCCTTTGTCGCAACGTTGTTTACGTTGCCGACTCCTGATCGGCACATCTTTGAACTGGGGTTACTAACAATATACGCAGGGCGGACGATGCCATGACCGATGTCATTTTCAACACTGGCTCCATCCTTTTCCCCATCGTCGGCTTCTATGCCAAGATATGGTGGCTGGATGCTCTCGGCGGTCTTTTGCTTTCCGCTGTCGTAATTTTCAATTGGAGCCAAACTTCAATGCACCACGTTCGCAACCTGACGGGCTTCTCGGCCACTTCGGATGAAAGAAACCTCTGTGCGTACATGATTTCTCTTTGCTCTCTATTCCTGCTACCCCTGTCGTTTCGTCTCCCCACAGTTGCTATAATTGGACCCTGCTATACCACACCTATGCCAACCCCCTAAGTTTCCCGTTTGTTTGTTGCTCATTCCCGCCTTTGCGCGTTTCCTTTGCAGCCATCCACTGCTGCAGCTGGATCTCGGGCATGTGGGCGGCGGCAATGCTACTGATCTTCAGACTTCATGATCGTTCTGTCGGTGGCCAGGGCTGACCCAAGACAACAGTGCTCTACCTTACCATGCGCTTCGCAACGTCCATCAGGCAGATCCAAAACTTGCGCGCCTACCATGCCGGCGACAAGCTCTTCGTCGAAGTTGACATTGTCCTCTCGGCCAACATGCCGCTCAAGGACAGCCACGATCTCAGTGAGGTTTTGACCTACTTCCTGGAGTCGGTTCCCATTGTTGACCGGGCTTTTGTGCACGTCGACTACGCCACGTACAACGTCGACACACATATCACGCAATAATTCATATTGGATCTGGTGATGGTGTACGCCGACTACATATCCAGTGCAGATCATCCCGGGAACGGTAGCTAAGCGGGGGGATGGTGGTAGCGGCCCGGGAGATGTGGCTCAACACAGAACAAGACACAGAAAAGGACGGACGGGACGGAAAAGAATAAAAAGGCAGCATCTTGGGTGGATCATGGGTATTCTCCGGCGACGAAGTCTCGTCGATTTGAACTCGGAGGTTTGTTTAAAGGTGTCTCTTTTTTCATGTTTTGTTTTAGCATTATGCATGGCCTTTCACTGGCCAAGGTTTGATCGGTTGGCAAGGGTCTGGCCGGCGTGTAATGTTTTGGAGACCCATCCTATCCTTTCCCGGCATACAACAAGTTTCAGGTGCATGATCCAGGAGCAAAGAGCGAGAGGGGGGGGGGGGGGGGGGGGGGGGGGCGGGGGGAGAGAGAGAGAGAGAGAGAGAAAGACGAGGCGCAAGCGAAAAAAAACCTCTCACAGGCGAGCCGGAATCTCATCGGGCAAAAAAGGCAGGGTGTCATTATTTATCAGCGTGCGTATTTGTGGCGCACATGTACAATAGTAGTGTAGGATTGAAGGAATCCATGGAAAACAGAACACCCGGGCGTGTGAGGAGCGTGTATCAGCAGCATCAAAGGCTTGAAAACCAACCAACAAGAAAACAGGGGCGAGACGCTTGCTAGGTAGTTACTAGTTGGCTTTGAACGGTCAATAACGCCCTTATGTCGAGGCCGCTGTATCCCACCGCCTTTTCCCTCCCGCCCCTCATCCCCAGAACTTAGTATGGAATGCCGTTGGTCAAGAGCTGGAATTGATCGTACACGCCAGTCGAATAGCTGTTGGCGCTTCTCCGAATCAAGTCCTTGACAAAGTCAGCCGCCTCGCGCTCGCTGCGCTCTAGCACGAAACGCTCCTTGAAGTGCTGTACACTCTCAGGCTTGAAGCACGGCAGACCAGAGTCCATCATCAGAAGCACAATCTGACTGAGCTTCTCGCAGTGCTGACGAGATGCGAGGAAGGCCTTGACACAGAGCTCCTCGAACCACTTGAAGGATTGGTGGTGAGGGCTGCCGCCCATGACCGCCAGCATCTCCTGCGTCAGTTTGAACGGCGCGCGCTCGAACTTGATACCACCCGGGGCGATGTCAAAGCAGAAGCCGAAATCGATGTGCAGTATATGGCCCGCGTCGTCGATCATGATGTTTCCGTTGTGCCTGTCCTTGAACTGCAGTAGGAAGGAGATGATGGAATAGGCCGCCATACTCTTCACAAAGTTGCTGCGGGCTTGCTGGAAGCGAAGCGAGTCTTCGTTGCCGTACTTGGAGATGAAGTAGTCGTACAAGCCGTTGACAGCCTCTCGCCCAAGCATATCTCGCGAGACAGAGTTGGGCAACACATCAATGACACCACAACCTGGGGCCGTCGCCGTGACACGGTATGGGTTGACATACACATCCAGGCCAACGTTGTGAAAGATGCCTCGGAAAGCAGCGATCATCTGCAGGGCGAGAACATCCTGTCTGCAGTCATCGCCGACCTTGAAGATGGCAGACTGCCACACCTCAATCGTGTTTTCTTGGGGCTGCTGGTCCTTCTTATTCGCCTCTTCGAGCATGTCGTTGACTTCTTCGAGACCACCCTTGGCTTTCTTGATGCGGAAAGTAGCCATATACGGCGCCTTTGCGTGACTCTGGAGAGGCTTGCCCGACTTACGATCGATTCCGATGACAACGCCATCGGGGTTACTGGGGAGGTACACACCGACCTCGACCTTGATTTTGCGCAGCTCTTCCTCGATCTTCTGTGCCTTCTCCGGCTTTGGTTTTCCGACGTAAGGCTTCAACTTACCCGAAATACCAGTGACCTCGTCGAAGAAGGAGAACTCGCGTTCGTAGAAGGTCCGATCAACGTCAGAGAAGCTTGAAATCATCTTCTCCATGACCTTGTCGAGAGTGGGCTTAATTGCATCGGGCTATGAAGTGGTCAGCGCTAGATTTGCTCCATGTGTTACGTGTAACCTACGATTGTGGCGTCGTCATCCTTGTACGCGTTGGCCTTCATGTTCCAGATGATCTGATGCGCGAATAACTGCGAGAATTGGGCGGTCTCGAGAATGTACCGTTCCACATAGCCCAGGGCGTCGTACCGTAAGGTCTGGACGATTTGTGGCACGTAGAAGAAGGTGACATCGCTGGAGTGGCTCTCTAAAGCCCTCATTGCATACTGGATCAAGAACGGGTGGTTCCGATAGGCAGGAAGAAAGTAGGTGGCGGCTGTGATTGGGTTCACCGGCGACCAGAACAGCAGATACTGCGATGGTTAGCAGTAGACCATGTGATGGAGCGTGGAAAGAGACATACTTTTAGTTGGAAATTGACATCGCTTGGCAAAGAACCGCCGAGAAGGATTGGCAAGCCCTCAGGTTCCGAGATGGCCTTCTGGGGGAAGTTGATTAAGAGCCATCTCACTTCGCGCTGAATGCGGGTGTAGGGGAATCGGGTGACGAGTTCAATGGCAATGGCGGGGTCTTCGGCCCATGCGACCTTGACCAAGGGGGTGAGGGAGGTCTGAAATTGTCAATATGAAAACGTTGATACACGGTTGTGTACGCACCTCGATTGCAGCCTTTGTAGTTGACGCCTGCGCCTTTCCAGTCTCACCCAGAGGATGCACCCACACCGCCAATCGAGTCAGCTCGCTCTCCAGGAGCAGCACGAGCAGTTGCTCCTTTGCCTGGAGCGACTTGATGCTGTCCACAGCGTGAGAGCCAATGAAAGCAACGCTCTTTAAAGCGGCCACGATATCAGTCAAGAGGCGAAGTTCCGTCTTGAGCTGAAGTATGTTGCTGCCAAAGGACCACCTCGGCGCGAACCTGAACCAGCTTAGGGCAGCCGATAGGCACTTCTCCTTCAGCCTCCACTGCGCGATGGCGCCAATTGTGGTACAGACATGCAACACCTTGAGTCCGAATAACACAAGCTGAAATCTGAGTTCTCGCGCCATCGGATGAGGTGTCGACGTCCGTATAGAATCTAGAGTCACGTCGAGGAGACGCAAGAAGATTCGTTGAACATCTGGACTGCCCAGTCGGGTTGCGTTGAAGTGGCTTCCAAAAAATTGCAGTAGGCGCATGTGTGGCGAGAGCAAGTTGTGCACTTGCTGCTTACGCTTCGCCAGAGCCTCCAGATCACTTGGCGCAAATTCCTCCTTGAGGAAGAATGGATCGGGATGCCTATACTAAGGTGAGTGAAAAGATGTGGTAGTGGGTAAGCCGACTTACGACATTGAAGGGTTGAAGAGGCCAAGCCCTTTATGAATGGTGCCCTCCCACTGCTGGGCGATCTCCGTGAGAAGTCTTGGCTCAAGGCGAGGGTTCTCGTTAATGACCCCTAACCAAAGAGAAACGCCCAGCTTGATTGATTGTTTTGTAAACATAGCAAATGGAATGCTGACGAGGTAGTGTGCGACAGCGGACTCATCACGGTCGCTGCGGCAGAGCAAGGCAGCAGCCCGGCGCAAGATGTCGCGAACCTCATTCAACGCTGTGGTCTTCTTGCTCTTGATTCGAGCCTCTACATGTGCCAGCGCAGTCGCGGCGTTGGCGCTTTCGCTAGCGGAGGAAACCGATGACTGCAAGAAAGACGCCCTACGGTTCAATTGCATGAAGTTAACGAGCTCGTTACCGCGATCCGGCAGCGTCTCTCCGTATCGGTACTCTTGGCGAGTCGTGTACTGGGCAACGAAGTCGGAGCCAGTATTGATGTTGCAATCTCCGACGCGGTCAAGAGACTGCAGTCTTTGATCCGTCGAGGGCATGAGAGATCCGAGCTCGATCGCAAATGAACGACCAAGGGAAATATGGCCATAGGCGCCTTCGTCATCAAATTCCGATAAGTATGTCTGAAGAAGCCCCTTGATGTCGAGAGGAGCAATGGCAATTACGCTAGACACCCATTGTTTTGCTTTGCGATTCAAAATGTCCAAAGTGTGGCGTCTGAAGCTGTAGTCGTCGGACAGCTCAACAGACACGTCCCCAAGGCTGGACGTGAATTTTGACCGTGGGGCATAGAGGTCTGTTTCTGCCTCGAGGCAACTTGACCACATCAATGACAGAAGCTCCAGAAGAGCGAAGAGAGAGGATCTATGGCACAACGCCGATGGTACTTGGCTGATGATACGGTCAGCGCAACTAAAGGCTGCTTGCTGAACGCGCTCGATCCGGTAGCAGCAGCCGCAGAAGATTGCAACGAGCTGACTGGCAGCGTATTGGGCTGAAAAGGTGGCATCGGCACCGCCTAGAGTCTTGCGTAGATACTTGTCTACCACAGCGGCGGCAATGCCCTCCATGGTACTGCTAACTTCCCCTTTACGCATGCTGGGTTCCAGGAAGTATGAGAGAGCTTTTGTGCAGTCTCCGGCATCAGCTCGAAGGCTCTCAACCAAATAGGCTGCCTGCAGGAAGATCACCTTGCGGTAACTCAAACCCTTAATTTCTGTGGTCTTGCTAGGGATCAATTCGGTGAGTTGTCTTTTCTGCATCGTCTCCCTGTCGTTGCTCATCCCGCGACGCAAGACGGTGTTTAGCTCGATGTCACTCTCGATCTGCTCGCCTCGTTGTTCGGCGACGAGTGGTGGCGAATGTACAGCCATAACCCGCAGCTCGTTGAGATATCTCTTGCCCATGTCGGTCTGTGTCGTAAAGCCATGGACAACAATGTTGAACCACGCATCCCTGACTAAGGAGTGCGAATCATCGTCGGTGACAGAGGTGAAGGCAAGGTCGTTAGTAGACATGAGGACAGCTAATGGGTGCAACAGCTCGGCTATCTCGCGAGCGGCTAGCTGCACATCGGCCTCCTTGGTATGGTTGGACTGATGTACATCGCCCATAGAGATGATGCTCTCTAGCAAGTACTCCCAGTAAATTTCGTACAGAGGTGAGTCTTTGTACAAGTTTGCCGATATATACGTCCTCGCCTTCATCACAGCCACCAGGAGGAAGTCCTTGTGATCGACGACCCCAATGTGGCAAATTCGGGAGAACACCTTTAACAGCGATCGGAATTCAAGCTGTCCACCTTGCAGCGCGAGGGCGGCGGCACCGCTGATGATCTGAGCGTCAACACTGCTGTTCACCTTGTCGATCTTCTGCAACAACATCGTTTGCGCCAAAGCAGTGATCTTCTCATCATTACAAGCTGTTGCGATGCCACAGATGGCTTGGACGACATTTCCATAGACCATAGCTGTTTCCTCCTCGCCGGTGATTGCAAGAGAGATGCTGCTACCAGTTGACTGCCTGTTGGGGTAAATGGCGTTGGCACCGTCTATACTCAAGTCGCCGTTGGTGCCGTTAGCCATGGATCTGTCGGAACCGGGACTTAACACGTTCCCGAGAGTGTAGAGAGTTGTAATGACGGCATCGTGAGAAAGCATTTTCAATACGTAAGCCAGACTCTTAGAAGCAACGGCAACAGTGCGGGCATGGGGTGCGCTTTGGACGATGAATCGAGGCAAAAGCCTGCTTGCGGTTGTAGCGTAAGTCGGTGAGACCTTGCACGTCAACGCGATAGATCTCAGAACAGTCGCCGCCAAGGCTTCGTCCGCCATCTGAAGGGGGTCGGCAAGTGTCTCTTCTAGCCATCCGATGAGGTTGTCGACGTCAGCTACCTCCTCATTTATGAACGCGCAGTTGAGATAGCTGACGAGAGTGGCTGACTTTACAGCAAAGGCAAGTCTTTGCTGCCATGACGACCCGAGTTGAAGATAGTCAGCGGTCGCCTCCAAGTAGTTCATTTGTTCCATAGCAATGGCGGTATACATATCGAGAGACCGGTAGTCAGCATCCGGGCTTCGAGGCGAGCCTGGCCTGTAGGCACCGTCTCCTGACATGAGCAGGTCGAGAATATGAGTGCCTCGCAAGAGAGATGCATCGGTGACGAGGAGCGACGTGCCAGCAACTAGAAGCCACATGTAGCTACGCTGCAAGAGAACAGCTCCCAGGGGCCGTCCGGCAGCAGAGTAGTGACGAAGGTAACGTTTCCACTCTTTGGCATGTCGGTCTGCAGATTGCGAGTTTCGGATCGTCGAGAAAGCCGTCTCAACAGCAGTCAAGAATGGCTGCTGCAGGATGTCCCTGAATCGTGTAATCAGAGAGTATCTGCCACCGGCTCGCCAAAAGTCCGCCTGCGCCGAGGCTGCATCAAGGAAGCCCAACAGCGACACGGCAATCGTCGCTGTTCTAATGGCGTCCTCCAAATTCGGGTCCTCGTCGTCTGCCCCTGGGGGTACAACGCGGCCCGCAACATGATCGCAGGCATTCACGAAAGCCCATATGTTGTCTGAGACCTCTTCGTGTAAGTCGTCGTACTGGGAACCGAGAGAGAGTAGCGCAGCCGTGACATGGAAAGCGAGTGCTTCGGTCGGGGATGGCTCGACCTTGCGGAAGAAGGGCGACGGCAAGAAAACCTGGATGTGTGCCTCGAGAACGTATGGGGTCAACTGGTGGACAAGTTTTTGGGCGCTCTGGCTTGTTTGGATGGCAGGGGCGGCTTTGCACAACGATAGCAGAACCTCGAATTCGCGGATCGTCTACAGAATAAGGGGGTACGTGTTAGCTGCGGATCTTGAGGAACAACGGCACAATAACCAAGGCTTAGTACCATGGGCTGTCTCCCCAGCGACGTGGAAGCTTGTTTTGCCGAGTAGCCATTGACTCCCTTCCCAGAAGACTGGGTGGCCTTGCACAGTTTGTCGAGATCGGAGCGATCGAAGGATGTTTTGGAGCTGGCCGCGGACAGAGACGCGATCTTCTCGAGCGCTCGCTGCCGAATGTCGCGGGTCATTTTCGCGACCGTAAAGGGTGGAAGACCCTTTAAAGAGGGTGTACCGTCGCCGGCTAGACGTGATAAATAGTATTTGTTAATTAATGAAGCTTTTCGTGGCAGCGGTATTCAGGAAGGTATGATCCTTTGCCTGCTTTGCTGCAACTGCGCGGTGACGATGGCTGCACCTTACGTGCTTCCCCCCAAATAATATCCCGTTCATCTGAAAGCCACTCATCCCTGCACCTACCTCCCCTGGCGCCCGCCAATTACTGTTGTAGGCGCAGGCAAGATGTCGGTACTGAGCCAGCTCAATTCCGTCCAGTCTTAGTCAGCAACAAAACAACTAGCTACCCCTGCCATTACCAGCTCGCAGCTCCCGCTCTCCACCTGGCAAGGCTGCCAGCTTGACGCGTGCGTAGTCCACTACAACCGACCTCAATCATCATCGTCGCAGCCTTGACCTCCATCACAGCAACGACATTCCCCGCATTCCCAACGAACCGACGGGCATACACGTACGCCTTGGACGAAACGAGATACCTTTACGAACAGTAACGAATCCTCTTTCTCTCTTTCCTTCCTCACGATAATACCGCAACGATGGCTGCCATGTTCAGCCAAAATCCCCTGATGAACGGGCCCAACTATTCCTTCTCCGATGCCCCGAAGAGCGCCAACGGTGAATTCAGAGAGCACCGCTTCAACCCGTAAGAAAGCTCCCTCGTTCTCAAACTCCTCCCTTACAGATATTTGGACTTTCTGAGGGCTAATCGATTCCACAAACAGGTACACCGACAATGGCGGCTCGACCCTGGCCATCGCCGGTGCCGACTACGCCATCATGGCCGGCGACACCCGTAGCACTTCAGGCTACAGCATCAACTCCAGATACACCCCCAAAGTCTTCAAGATCGGCGGAACGACCTCATCACAAGAAGACGCTACCATTCTGCTCTCCGTCGTTGGCTTTGCCGCCGACGGCGAAGCTCTCAAGGACCGCCTCGACACCATCTGTAAGATCTACCGTTACCGTCACGGTAAGCCCATGAGTGTCACCGCCTGCGCAAAGCGCCTCTCCACCATTCTCTACCAGAAGCGCTTCTTCCCATACTACGTCTACGCAATTCTCGGCGGCCTCGATGAAGATGGCGTTGGCGCCGTCTTCTCTTACGATCCCGTCGGAAGTTACGAGCGCGAGCAGAGCCGTGCTGGCGGTGCTGCCGCCAGCTTGATCACCCCCTTCCTCGACAACCAGGTCAACTTCAAGAACCAGTACGTCCCGGGTAGCGGTGTGGGCCACGAGCTGCAGGAGCGTCCTCGCGTTCCCTTGGAGCGGAAGGAGGCCGAGATCCTTGTCAAGGATGCGTTTGACGGAGCTGTGGAGAGACACATTGAGGTCGGTGATCATTTGCAGATGATGATTATCACCAAGAATGGAGTCGAGGAAGTTCTTCTGCCCTTGAAGAAGGATTAAGGTCGCCTGATCGGGATCGGGGTAGTTGTACAACACGAGGCAGGTAGCAATTTCAGACAGCATCGTCGCCGGTTCAGCTGATCAAACATCACCAATGGATCAATCAAAGTGCCCCTTTGTCCTTCCCAAAGCAGTATTCAACGTCCGCCTTCTCGAATGACGTGGCAGTTTCCCCTGATCATCAATCTCGAGTCAGCCAGTGAAGTGGAAACAGAAATTGAGTCGCATACCGGGCTGTTTGTGACTTTCCATGGAGGGGAGGCGCCAGCCTTGGGTGGGCTTCGACCAGGCGCCAACATGCCGAATGGCGTTGAGCAACGCAACTGCCTATTCAGCAATGTCTGTGGTTCATATGCAATCCCCCAGCTTGTCGGAGGCGAGTACGAATACGATGGATTTGCTGCATAATCCGCAGTCCGGTCAGAAACCCTAACATCAATTGAACGGCAGACTGAGGTAGCGGGCAGAGCCTTTGCAGTCGTCGAAAGCTGCTCGCATTAGTTTCCATTCTAGGCAATGTCGTCGTTCTCACGGGCGACGGCAACCTGGGCCCATGTCCGCTACAGATATAAATTCACAGCTCAACACTAGGGGCCCATAGGCGATGCCTGGCAGTCTGGATTCCGTCTTCTACTGGATGCGTTCCGTCGTTCCTGTCAGATGACGGGCTGTCCCGAATAAGCGAGGCTCTTGGGTCACAGACGAATCAAGGCGTCCATAAACGGTCTCGGCGCTCGTGGTTTACGTCTCGGTAGCTCACGGGGGGCTGTTGACGAGGACGAGACATGTCGTTGCCGGGTTTTCGGAAGGTCCATATGCGCCACAGACGATGCTTCTGAGGATCACGGTCGACTTGTCACTTTGCTCAGGGGTCAACAGCGTTTCCGGAGGCTTAGCTGGACCAGTCAAGTCGGCAGGTATCCGCATAGAGTCGTAGAACATGAGGTTAGTTGCCACAGCCAATAACGGTGCTCCCGCTCAACAAGGCCCTGGCGTTCAGGAATCTCGACGGCTCATTCGCGGTTCGAACGAGAATGGGGAGTCACAACTAGGGTCTAGTCTGACGACAGCCCAACATTCGGACTAGGCGAATGTATCTCCGCCGCAGGGTTGATGGGGATGTGGTGAGCAGCTTTCCATCATTGCCACGACCGCGCGATGCAGAGTTGCGGATTGCAGACCGCTCCAGACACCCGGAAAGACGAAACGCAGCTGACAAGTAACTGGAAAAAGAAGCCTAAACATGCTACTGCAGTAAGCTTGTTGAAGCAGGACGTATACTTCCCGAGGAACGCGATCTTCATCGAAATTTCCTCAAAGAACCCAACAAAGCCACAGCACCGCCGCATCTTTCAGCAGTAGTTGAAACCAGGTGGTTTGCTATCTGTTTGCCACCCGGCGTGCGGCGACGGGACGAAAACACAGGATGGCCCTGACCAGCTGAACTTCATCACCCCCTGCCCCCCTTGTTGCGACGGTGGCACGGCGGGTTTGTGTTGGAGACGTCGCTCCAATCCTGGCAGGGCTGGACGAGCTTCTGCTTGATCAGTGCGTAAGGGCATCTGACAAGTCAAGCCGCCGCACCAATGTCCGATCGCCGGCTCGCGCCGGCAGCGGGGATGATGCCGACTTGGTTGCAAGACGAAGGTGTGTGTGTGTGTGTCTCTCTTTGTGGGCGGCGGCAGATCAGGGGATTCGCCCCCGTCAGGCTCTCTAGGCAACCTATACGGCTCAGTCTTACGTATGCCAGGTGTCAAGCATTGAAGAGTTGTAGAAACATACCGCAGAAACACACTGGCCGGTTGTCGCACATCGTCGTCAGACGTGCATGAGATTTGCAGAGGATCATCACTTACTATGGCTAGACGTGGCTGAAGAAGCTCAGAGTGTGGCTTGCCAGGACATGGTTCCTATGCTTGTGGAAGTCAGCCGGATGATTGGGCATCTGGCAATCAAGTCCCTAACTCAGGTTACCCCCCAAAGTTAGACGTCGTCTCATTCCTCACCGGTAGTAGCTAAAGCAACTGGTTGGCCTTCACGAACGTGGGTGATGGTCTCGGATGCATGGATCACCCGGCGGGTGACATTGCAGAACGTTCTTGACGACGACGTGGGTATGTCGCCACCGAAAGGTTTTGCCGGAAGGAGTCCAGCGCGAAGCTGTCAAAAGTCGACGCCGGACGACGCGAGTGGACTACTGGCTGGACAGCGATCGTTGAGGCAGCAATGTATGGGTGTACCATCAGACCAAGCCCTGGCAGTTGACGACCAGAAACATGTTCGGTGCACTAGGCAGGATGTGGTTTGAGATGCGAACGAGCCCAAGCAGGGCTTTCGAACGCAAACCTAACCTCCTAGGGCTGTCTCTGCTCAAATCAGATAGTAACTGTATGTCACTGCTACGTCCGCGAGCACGTGAGCGGCACATAATTATCGGGTGCACTAGTATGCCACCAACGAGAAGCGGTTGCAACACCTGTAAGGTGATCATAAACGAGGGAAACCATCTCCTGACGCCTCGGGTATTGTGCAAATCCGTATTGATCTTACATAGCGTGCTGTCGAAGTTGCAAAAATGTTCATTCGCCGCTTGGAGGCTCTCGGCCACTTGCCATATGAATCCTCTTGCATGCGCCGGCGCACATCAACTAGAGTGCATTAGCCAGCCCAGCAACCCAGCAGCAGGGGGGCACTATAGACAGCCAGGATTACTAGTGAGATGACCTCAATGTCGTCATAACGGGTCTCATGGGTGACGCAAATGCGAGAAAAACCTACGCCGCAAAGTACGGGCAAACACAGATACTCAACCCTTTGATTTTCTTCGGTGTCGGTCGGCCGAGTATGATAGAAGGCTAGTGAGCGCATTTTAACGTGGACGGTGCTGCTATTCTACAGCCGCAAGATGCAACTGGGCCGTTGGATGGATATAATTGAGTTGCGTGAGAGGGTGCCAAAAAAAAAAAAAAAAAAAAAAAAAAAAAAAAAAAAAAAAGGGGCCCAGTTCCAATTGCCACTGGAGTTCGAATACTAAGTAAGGAGTGTTGACAGACAGATTTGGGCCTTGTCTCCTGGCTGGGATGGCAGGCTGAAGACCAAGACCCTGGGCGTCTGTTGCAACATGGGCGGGATGAAGGCTGGCAGGAGCTTCCGAGCATGATCACAAGGCAAGATCATAATGATGCGAAAGCAGTGCAGGCAGTGACGAGTCTTGAAGGATGCGATGAAGATCTCGGGCACATAGGTTAATGATCGGCGCCGGTCAAGGAAGGCTTGGTCAGTGTGGCAAATTGTCCGACCGGCAAGCCGCATCCCTCGGCGGCGCATGCATGGTAGCCCAGCGGTGGTTCGGCGGCTTCCTGGTCAGTGGAGGGCCGGCGACATGGGCGGGCTTCACCCAGGAGCGGATTCCATGATTTCGGCGAGCCATATATCCGAATGAAGTGGCTGTTGGTTTGGAGTTGGCTTCTCTACGGAGGAAAAGATCCGGTCGTTGCAAGCCTGAACAGGCAAGTTGGAGTCGAGGATGCTCATTGGATCCGAT